CCCCAGCTCCCTCAGCCTCTCCTCATGGCACTTGTGCTCCAGTCCCTTCACCAGCCTCGTTGCTCTTCTCTGGACCTGCTCCAGCACCTCAGTGTCCCTCCTGAGCTGAGGGGCCCAGAACTGAGCACAGGATTCAAGGTGTGGCCTCACTAGCACTGAGTGCAGGGGCAGAATCACCTCCCTGGTCCTGCTGACCACACTGTTCCTGATCCAGGCCAGGATGCCATTGGCCTTCTTGGCCACCTGAGCACACTGCTGGCTCCTGTTCAGCTCCCTGTCTCTCCAAACTCCCAGGTCCCTTTCTGCCTGGTGCTCTCCAGCCACCAGAGGTTTCTTCAGAGGTTTTTGACAAGGTGGTGGTAGTTTCTGCTGCATTTCCATTTCTGAGTGGGAATTCCTTGGGCACTTTACACATTGTGACTTTCTGACATTTGTTTGCTTTGTTGCAATCATTGTCTATGTCTGTATGGGAAGTGCTTGTTTAAAGCTCCGTTACAATCCTTGGTGATCTAGCCAGGCTGGTCAGTAGAGTTCAGAGGGAAATTCAGCACACCCTATAGTGCCATATCTGCATCTGTTCTGTCCAGTAGCTCTTTAGGTTCCCTTGCCTGGATCTCTGGCTGTGCAGGAGGTGTTTACACAATGAATTTTGCCCCTTGCATAACCTGAATCTCACTGCACATGTGAAGTAGTTTAAAAGCAGAAGCAGATGTCAGGCACCGCTGTGTTTTACACTGCATTGAAGTAAACTTCTCTTGGGATTTAATGGACACAGCCCTGAGCCAAGTGCTCTAGGGTGGCCCTGCTGGAGTTGGGAGGCTGGACCAGATGACCCATTATGGTCCCTTCTAACCTGATTTTGTGATTCAGTATTTGGTAGAGAAGCAGAGAAGCACTCTGTATATTATCCAGACCTCCAAGGGTAAAATTAGCAATCCTTTCTGTTGGGTGCTAACAGTTTGATTAGCCAGCATTTTCCCATTAGCTCCATTGCTAATGCTCTTCTCTTGATCTGTTTGCATTATAATCTACATGTTTTCCCCCATCTTTGCAACAAATATTCCTTCAGGTCATGTCCTCATTTTTGTGTGCGTCCTGTCTCTGCCAGTTAAATCAGTGGTGATTTAGGACAATTTAGCCATCCATTCTCTGCCCTCTGCAGTGTCTCTGTGATGCTTCCTCCTCTGCCCACCCATGTTTAATCCCATTAAACAGCTGCTCCAGTACCTTGATGCTGACACTGGGTATGTTTGGTCAGCAGATGAAGTGAACAAGCCACAGATCAATGTCATTGATTGAAAAATGTACAGTGTAGCAGATGGACTATTGGGGGAAGCATCAGAGAAAGGGACTCCCATCAGTAGAGGTTTTCTGGTTGAATTGTTCTGTTACACCCAGATGGAGTTAGTGCGGCTGGAAGAGAGAGCTAGCAAAAATTTGGGTTTGGTCTGCTGGAACGTGGTGTTGCGTGCATGCCATTCCTCTGGCTGAATGCAGCACTCCTGGGTGCAGC